AAAAAATTTAAATATAATTATTTTTTTGTAAATGTAAGTATTTTTTTGTTATATTTGTTTAATTTTATAGATCTAAATATTTTTTTGTTTAACAAATGTTTAGGGACTTAATCGTTCAAAATATGAATATTCATTGGGGTTTTTTTGGATTTTTTTTCCACTATTTTACCATTTTAACTAGTTGTACAAGTCATAAGAATATATCCAACAGGTTTTAGAAAAGTCCAAGGAGTTATGTAACATGTTTTGGATTGTCTAATGACTTATTTGTTTCAAAAATTGTCCAATTAGTTATTTAACATGTTTTAAATCGTCCAATGACTTATTTGTTTCAAAAAATTGTCCAATGAATTGTTTAACATGTTTTGGAATGTCCAAGGACTTATTTGTTTCAAAAAATTGATTGGATTTTTTTAGACTTTTCCCTAAACTAATTGCAATTTTAATCATTGTGGTTGTCATTTTTCTTTCCATCAAGAACAAAATTGTCCAACCAACCCATGGCTCCAGATTTCTTCAGTCCAGAAAACATTTCTCAATATATGTTGCCTACTACGAGGATCCCGTATCCAACAACCCTGATTGATCCACCTGTGATTATTCAATCAAGGAATCTTTATCTATACTATATTTTATAGTATTTGATAAAAACTTTTAAAAATCATTTTTTATATATAAAATATTTTTTATTGATGCATATTACTTAAAATTCAAGATTACAAGTAGATTGTGTATAAGTACAATTTATTAAAATTCCATGTTTGAATTTGTGTAACCAACTATAAATAAATATAATTAAATACATGGTAAATATCTTATTTTAAACTAGAAGGGTACTCGCATGCACAATGCAGCCAGATACATCTCGATTTTAGTGTTTTGCTTTTTTTTTGTCTCGGTCAATATTATAATACGGTTTTATATGGTTTTAAGAAAACAATAATGTTTTTATTTTTGAATAAAATATGAATATTATAATAAAAAATTAAAAAAATATTGATATTAGTAATGAACTATATATTTAAAATTTCTCCTTTTTTGTGTATATCTTTAATTCATTTTTTTTTTTAATTTTTGGTTTAATAATATAATTTTTTATAAAGATAATAATTAATTATTTTATTAAAACTCAATGATGATCTTAATTATATTTTACATTTTTTATATTTAACATAGGATGTTTATTTTTTATTTGATTATGTTTATCTGTGATTAGTTACATAAATTTAAACATAAAGTTTTAATAAGTTGTACTTATGCATAATTTACTTGTAATCTTAAATTTTAAGTAATATGCATTAATAAACAATAGTTTGTACATAAAAAAATGTTTTTTTCTCAAATGATTTATAATATAGTATAGATATAAAAAATCTAAAATATAATTAAAATAAATATAAAATTTTAACAAAATACTTAATTATTATTTATATAAAAAATATTTTTTTACCAAAAATTAAAAACTTCAAACTTAAAGTAAATTATAATAAAAAATTAAATTAAAAGAATTATTAAAAACGATAATTTTTAAATAATTAATTTGATATATTTTAAAAAAATTAGAATATTTTTAAATTTATATTTTATAATAATATCTTCATACTATAACAATAAATAAAGAATAAAACAAAATCATATTTACTTTCACTTTCAACACATCAATTCACAATCATCTTCTCCGGCCAACCACCGCCATCGTTTTCTCCGACCAACAGTCCCCTTCCAATCATCTTCCCCGGCCAACCCTCGCTTTCCCATCATCTTCTCCGACCAATCCTCCCCCTTGGTCATCTTCTCTGGCCAACATATTGAAAGAAACCCCAAAACCAAAAACGGAAAAACCTGTAACAGATCGAAAAAACCCAAAACCAAAACCAAAATAAAACCAATCGATCCCACACTTTCATCTTTCTCAGATCACGGAACCAGTGGGTAGAACTCAAACACAACCCCGCCCTTCCTTCGATCAAATCCCACCCTTCCGCGGTTTCGCCTATTAAAACCCACGCACAAATAAATACACACTCAAACACAATATAAAACCCCTTATCTGATCAAATCTTATACCTGCAACCCACATCAAATAAGCAAAATCAAAATTAGACCTCCAATTAGAACCCTAGTCCTATACCAGAAATGTAAACCACTGTTGAAGATGAGTTTAAAAATTGTACCACCAACCTGATTGGTTTAAGGTTGGTTTAAAAGTACCAGAAGATAACAAATCCAAATAGAAATAAAAAGCCTCGTGTAGCTACGGAGTTTCAAATGCTGTTACTTCAGGCTATCTGTAAAGCGGGGGGTCACCCTGGATTAATCGGCTCTGTCATAACTTTCTTTCTCACACGATCTATTGCCTATCAATATTACATCTATAAACATCAACGATAATCATCAATATTACATCCAAAAACAATATTATGCCTACAATCAAATAATACCAAAAACATTAATCGAAGCTTTGAGCCTTCGAGAAAACAAATAAATACATTAATAGAACCTATAATCAATAAATCAAGTACTTAAGCCAACCTATACAAATATTGAAATAGGAACAAAGATATGTTGAATGTAATATTAGACAAATAATATGTAAACATAAACCCAACAAGTTATGGAACATAACCAAATTGTGGTACAAGCAAAACAAAATTTTAAATTGTATATGTTTTATTGGCATTCTAAAAACCTAACGCTACTGATTGATCAATACCATCCTAAGTTTATCTACCCTTCTTTTGCAAGAAACGACAATGCACGGAGAAAGATGATGGATGGTGTTGGTCACAGTGGTGTATGGTGACAGCGGTGGGACGAGGATGTGGGGGGAAAAGGACGAAGGGATGGTGGTGGCGACAAATCTGGATGAGAGTGGGGGTGGGGGTGATACATATCTTGAAATACCCCACCCACCCCGTATGTCTTCCCCAACCTGGCATATGCGACAACATCATCTCCCTTACCCTCGATTCAAAATGATATAAAAACAATCCATTTCTCAACTTTTATCGACTCCATTATACCACTAAAATCAAAATACAACCTCAAAGTTGTATACCTATGAGTGTGTATACAGAGAAAGATTCTCAGTTGTTGAAGATACGTCAAAAAAACTGGTATACAAACCCTAACATAAAAACATATAGAACAGTGATTTAAAGAATTGAAACTCGTTTCAATTTTGAGAATTAGGGTAGGAGAATGATGTTTGTGGACATAATTGTTAGCATGTATTTGTGTGTAGGTGTGGGTGTATAATTTAATATAATTCTTTTTTTTTTTTTTAATTTCTGATGAAAAATTAGAAATGAATAAAAAGATCTATATGTCCCTCGTTTAATTGGAATTGACGAAAAAATTAACATTCATTTGGTAGACGGACAAAATCTGTTGAAAGTCGATAAACATGAGGAACCAAATTTAAGTTTTTGGAGTTTAAAGATAACATCTGTCAAAAATAACAAATGTTAAGGACCAAAATTAAACTTTGCTTTTATAATTAATTGATATTAATTTAAGTTTAACTATTAATTAATATTACTTTTAAATTTTAATTATGAATTAATATAAGATTATTAATTAGTGTTTAATATTAAGTTATTAATCACTTATTAGTTATAATACTATAAGTTGCAAATTACTAATTAAATTAATTATTATTATTATTTAATATATTTAATGAGTCAATATATTGTTCAATATTTTTTACCTTATGACTTGTATCAGTTAACATATCATATTATCAATACTTTGTTTAATTATATAATATAATGTTACAACTGACTAATTTTTTAACATGATATTTTTTTTGTCAATCTTATATTTTTTGATTAACTTATCAGCTAGTTTTTGTTAAACATTATTAATTAACCAACTAATTTATCAATGCCAAACATTGCTATATCGCATGACATTAGCACCTGTTAGGGTAAGAGATAATGGATAATAAGTAAATGGAAACGATGGAATATTTTTTTTGTAAATATTAAACTAAGAGGCTGTTTGATTTTATGAAATTTGAAAAAATTGGAATGATCAATTCCATTAATCACATTTCATTTATGCGTTTGATTCACATTTTGAGTTTTAGTAAGGTATCCAAATTCCACATATGACCAAATGTAACTCCAATGGGTTCTAGAAAGGAATTCTAATTCCTTCAAACCATCTTTTAAGAAAAAAAACTACTATACTTTTAGGGGGCGTTTTGTTTCGTAGAATGAAATTCGATGGAATTGGAATTCATCAAATGAATTTGACTTTGAGGGAATAGAATGAAATTTGATGGAATTTAACCATGTCTTTTGATTGTGTCTGGTTGGATGGAATTGGAATGAAATTCTTAACGGAATTGGATTTTTTTGTTTCGTTCACGGAATTTAACAAGAAAATTATATAGATGGCATTTCGAGAAAATTCTTTTTAGGATGGAAAGAACGAGAGAGAGAGAGAGCATACCAGATCGAGCAGAGTGAATGAGATCGAGCAGTTTTGAATAGGGATGACAAAAAAAACCCGAAACCGATGATGAAAATCGAAAACCGAAACTTTCAGGTCGGGTTCGGGAACATCTTATCGGGGACGGGGCGGAGATCGGAGACAAATTCATGAATTTAATGGGGACAGGGGGGGACGGTGATCATAGGCCCGCGCCCACCCCTATTTGATATGTGTATATATATTAATTTTAATTTATATACATACATACATACATACATACACACACACACATACACACACACACACACACATATATATATATATATAATATCATTAAAAGAAAATAGTAACATTAAAATTTAAAAACTTTTTTCCACTTTACTTCAACAACCCAAATAAAGCCCACGAAAAAGTCCAGTTTATTTGTCTAATTGTGAAATCATTGTTTTAGTTGTATGATGTTTGAAGTTCTGTTTAATTTTATATTGTAATTTAATACATAATTGGTTCGATTATGTTTGAGACATTTAAACTTGCATCTTTAAAAAATATAATTTACTTTTAGTTGTGAAAATTAACATATTGTAATTTTTTTAGATCTGTTTCGGGTTTCGGTTATAACCAACGGTAAACGGGAAAAAGATGATTTTTACCTTAACGAGTTCCCCAACGAGGATCGGGGAAACCAAGGGGACCTGATGGGGAGGTCACGGGGACGGTTTTAGTTATCGATTTCGGGGACGGGGATACCAATAACCGGCCCGAACCTGACCCGCTGTCATTCCTAGTTTTAAACGAGATCGAACAAAGGAGATCGAACATAGCAGAACAGAACAAATCGAGATACAACGTCGATGAATTTGGATGAGAGCTAGGGAATTTGTCGGATTGGAATTTGAAATCCATGGTATATGCGGTGGAATTGTGAATCGATGACTTAAGAAATTTGTTAGAATTGGAAGGATTCCTTCACATCTATTCTATGAACTAAACATGGTATTTGGAATTTGGTCAAAGATTTGGACATTCCAATTCCACCAAATTTCATGAACCAAACACCCTCTTATATTTATTTCATTCCATCAACCATATGGATGTAATCATCGCTACAACTGTCGCTTTTACCGCTACCACCATTGTCGTTGTAACCACCACCACTACCGTCATCAGCACCAACGCCAAAACCACCACCTCCACTATTTTATTCAACGAACCAAACACACAGATTCAAATTCTTTTGATATAATCCATTTTATAATTTGTGCTAACAAAATGAATGATCAAACATGATTAAATTTCATTACAATTCATTCAAATTTTAATTCTTTTCACATATTTCATTATATGAATCAAATGAAATAAACGATTTTTTTGTCATGCTATAATTCTTTATAGAAATATTTATTTGAACCAAAATTATAAATAACGATGATGAAAGTAAAAAAAAAATAGTAATGCATAAATAAATAAATTAAAAATTAAATTTTGAAATCTCCGCGCTCTAACGGTATTCATAACGCATTAGGGTTGGTATATAAATATCCCTCTATGCTTACTGCCTCCTCATTGCATTTTGAGTTTCTCGCTCATATCGATCCATCTTCGTCGAATTCAAACCCTGATTTTCGATTCCACTTCCCTAATCCAAAACTCATGGATTTCCAAACCCTTAACAGAAGAGAGCTTCAAGCTCTCTGCAAGCTCAATAAGATTCCTGCAAACATGACGAACATTGCCATGGCCGATGCTCTCAAATCTCTTGAAACTGTAAGTTAATTGACTTCAATCTCATCCGATTCTGCTTCTTATTGAATTAGTATTGAAAAAAACTTGAAACCTCGAACTTATTCTATTGGTGAAGCATTGTGTTCATTGTATAAATGTCGAAGAAGCATTGTAATGCTATGTAAAATAGTAGTGATCTCAACATATCGCTATATTTGCATTAGTTCGTGTATTTTGTGGCCGATGCCATCAAATCTTATGTGATGATAAGTTTCTCAATTTAATTCGATTGGTCTATGCTTCTCATTGCGTTCACTTTCAAAAAGATACACACGAATTCGATCTGTTTAGTTGCGTCTTGTTTCTGTTGGTCTGCTGCAAAAAAACGTCGTTGTACCGTTAGATTATCACCTGTATTGGTTGATACACAAAACATATATTAGCATCGGTGTACACATGTTTTCTTGTATTGATTTTAGAATTGTTTGTTTGTGTTATACATCACCAGGTTGAAGGTATTGAAGAGATCTTGAAACCTTCACGGTCTGAAAGTGCTGGATCATCAATTGAATCGCCTGAAAAGATTGACATCACGTCACCTAGAGTTCCTCGCACAAGCTGTAGAACTTCTGCTCGGCAAAAGGTGAAGAAAACAGAAGCAGAGTCTGTGCCAGCAACAGCAAGCAGGACAACTGGTCGTGGAGTAAGGAGGCAATTGGCTGGAGAGGTTAATGAACTGAAAACTCCGATGGTTTCCAGCATCAGAAAGAAGGCTCCGACTACTTCTTGCCGGAATGTGGGGAGTCAACTGAATGAGTGTGAAGAAGTTGCAAAAAACGAATGTTTGGTGGAACATGAGACGAAGTGCATACCAAATACACCTGCAGCAGTTGCAACATATAGCCGGAGGAGGGGGACTACAGCATTAAATCAAGACACTGTTAAAAAGGAAACTACTGTGCAGAGAGTGTACAGCACAAGAAGATCAACAAGGTTAACTGCAAAGAAATCTGCAGAGCCAGGTGTGATAGAGAGGGAAAGAAGTGAACCTGTGAAGATTGATAAGTTTTTGGATGAAGCGAGTGAAGCATCCGAAGAGGATTTGGGTCACCCTGATCAAGAGAAAAGTGTGGTCTCAGGTATGTGTTTGACACTACTAACAGGCTCATATTTTTTAACATATAATAAGTTGGCTGTTATGTTATGCACATTTTTTAATTTGTACTAAGGTAGATATATATTTGAGAAAGCTTATCTGTGTATGGGCATATATATTTGTGAAAGCTTATCTGTATTTGGGCATATATATTTGAGAAATCTTATCTGTATATGGGCAATCAGATTATCAAGTAACTGTGTCTTTGCTAGCTTTTTATTCACATCCTTAAAACAACAGGCTAGATAGAAGTTAAACCTGAATCTTTTTAACTCTCACTGCAAAGCCTTTCTATTCTAGAAGCAGAGAATAATTGATCTAATAATAATTAGTCAATTACTGTCTTTCTTAGTTATGCACCATTTATTCAAATTAAAGCTGAAGCCATTAGTTGTAAAACATTCAGGTTCTGATTCTATGGAAATACTCTCTGAGTCAAACATATCATCTGAGAACACAGAAGATAAAGTTGGGGAAGGAAGTGTTGAAAATGGTGATGCTGGTGTTTCAAAGGCAAAAGTGGAAGATATCTGCAATGCGTTTGAGAAACTTGATGTTCTTGTTGTTGATGAAAGTGATCAAAATTTGGAGATTAAGGAGGCCCTGCACGTGGATGCTTCACTTGAAAGTGGAGAGAAGAAGGTAGACTGTTATGGGGAGATAGACAATAAAATAGAGGTGCAATCAGTTGAAATCTTTGAGCAAGGTGTGAACCTGGATTCAGAAGAGACACAAAATGATGGAGGGAAGCTTGTCCTGAATGAAGTTGATAACTCTGAAAAAAAAGATGGTCAAGCAGACAATCTAAAACCAGATGCTGTTTTGGTTCCAGAAGAACACTCTGACAGCTTCCTCTATGATAAAGCAATCCTTTTATCAGGTGAAAAGCGCTTAAAATGCATAGTTCAACCTTTTGATTTTTTTTTCAAGTTCTAATCTAGCTGAAATTTCTTTCAGAAGCTAACAATGTTGATGAAAATGCCATTTCCTTGGACATTGAGAATCTAAATGGTTCTTCGAGAATGAAACTTGAAGATACATCTTCTGGTGTTTCAGAGATGGATAATGAAATCCTGGAGAGCAATGGTAAGTTTTACCTCTTATACAAATCAACATATGTCCAGATGTTTTTGTAGTTTTTTCAAATATGGTGGGAGATTTGATTCTTTTTAACACTGAGAATATCCTTGGTTAATTCCAATCTAAGAAGTAAAATTGTTTGTAACATGATTATTGTCTTGAAATTACAGATGATGTGGTCCTCGTTGATTTTGTCGAGCAAGAGCCAAACAAAGCTCCTGCTGAAGAGTCTGTAATTGAGAAATATGTTACTGATGTAATGCCCACCAGCACCATAGACCGAGACTCTGAACAGGTCAATCAAGAAGCCGAACAGACAATGGATTATGCTGAGGAAATAATACTGGAGTCAGTAGGTGATGATTCTTTAATTAAAGAAGAAAATCAAGTTCCAATGAAAGCAACTGATGCGATTGATCACCCAACATCTATAAGGAAAATGACTTCAAACAACAATGAGAACATCGGATCAGTCGTTGTTGCAGTTGAAGAGAATAAAAACATTAACGACCAAGCTGTGGACGAGAAGCCTAAGAGTTTAAATGACACAAGTATAAGGCAGCTAAAGAAGCAGCTGAAAGCCTTGTCGATAAAAAACAACACGAATAGCGACAAAGATGATAAGGTGAGTGGAACTTGTATCCAGACTTTGGTAGCTTAATATAATTCTGTGTGTTGACAAAAATAGGTCCTAATCCTGTTGTGTTTTTGATGAGCAGGTGGGTGAAGTAAGACCTGCTTTGCAAGCTGTGTGCGAAAACCAATTGGTGACTGAAGAAATGGAGGATGGAGAGAATGTAGGCAAAGTTTAAACTCCTCTCCTTTGTTGAATTTGAAATGAAAAGTTGGCAAAGATAATGGAATCGAATATTAATGTTTTTTTTTTTCATACCATAAATTGGAGTGTCTTTAAGTTGAAGATGGACTTATTACTTTGCATACAAATTTGCAATAAAAGAATGTGGCATGTAAATAAAGACCCCACTTGGACCATGGAAAATATCCAGGTGGGGATCCACATAATTTGCTCTTTTAGATGGATGGTGGAGATGATGGCGATATTGGAGGGTTTGAGGGTTGATAGGAACCAGAACCCTTGTCCGGTTGACTTTCCATAAAAATGGTTCATAAACGGACAAGTTTAAGGGTTAATTAAGCGGGGCACATGACATGAATATCGTCACTATTTTTTTATTTTCAAAAATATTCTCTTTCTTTGTTGATATTATTGATTTATTATTGCTTTTATACTATTCCTTAAAAAGAAAGAAAAGTTATTTGTTTCATATAAATTTGAATTAGAATTTTCATAAATATTTTTTTTGTATTAATTATGATTTTCATATAACCTTATCCCTATAGTTTTGGATTTACACTGTCATTGTTGTTCGCCATAAACATTGGATTTGGTTTCTTATTGTAATAATTGTTTAAAAATTCCATTAGATAAAGAGGCATTTTTTTAGCCAATCAAAAATGATTTTATGAAATTTGTTCTTGTTGTTTTTTATTGGATAAAAGATATAAAAAAAAGATCAATAAGATAGTGTTTGGTATGCAGACTAAATGAGAGAGAACAGGACAAGACAGAAAAATACATGACAAGACTAATTGTTTGTCCTATTTTGGTACGACTCAGAACATGATAAGACTGTTAAAATGACCATATTACCTCTAAATGTTGTTTAATGTTATTTTATATCATATAATGATTGTAAATGACAACAAATCAACCAAAAATATATTTAAATTATTTAATCTATTATATCAATACTTTTTTTTAACATTCCAATACCATATGTAAATAACATTTGTCAAATCATAAATTTAAAATACGCACATAATTTAAAAAGTTTAAACACAACAATTGTAAATAATATTTGTCATGCCATCGTCAAAAGTTTAACATTTCAAGAATTGATGTTGGAATCGATAATGGAGGTTGTGAAAAAGAAGAAAGAGAATGCAACTAAATTAGGTTTGTATTTTGATATCAAATAATAAGAGCAATATTGTAATCTCAAATTTAGTCTCATGTTGTTCTATCTTTTTTGATGGAATAAAAAAACTCAAGAATAGTCTCACTCAATTTTACTTTTGTCCCATGTTGTCTCATCTCACTTTTATCTCATGATACACCAAACATGAGACTTTTATTTTTGTCTCGTCCTGTCCCACTCAGTCTGCGTACCAAACGCACCCTTAATAGACAAAAATGCTCTTCATTCAACGAAACTTTTTAATGACTTATAGAGAAAAAGACCCAAATTCGAACGCTTTAACAAACAATGATGGTCATCTGGTAATTTTGAAACAATTTGAATGAAAAGTGTTGCTTTTGACAAACGACAAAGACCAAACATTTATTATACTCTAATATTTAAGCCGATGACAAATTAAATTAAAAAGTAACATATCTTTTTTATTCTAATTTTAGATAACGTACATTCAAAACTTTAATTTTGATATATGAGATGTGACATCTCAAAGATTTAAGTATCTGGATAACAGAATTACTATGCTAACATATCAAATAATATGACATACAACTCAATATTTTTTATTGACGTGACAAATAAAATGGTTTTTTTTAATATAAAGTTGATTTTAAAATATTCATGCTACAAAATTTTGCATTTTAAAAATATCTTTTATTATTTTATTAGAATTGTTATATCAACCTCCTCTTTCGTTGTAATGGTGTTCCAAAAACTCGGGCAAGTATATTTTGTTTTCCATTTAAATAATTTTTTGATGCTCTGAAAAATCCACTTAAAACCCCTAATTTTGAAATATCCTAATCCTCGTTTGAAGAAGAAACACCTAAGCTCGTGAAAACTTTGGTCAAAACCCTGAAAATTCTAACCACCGAATCGTTTCAATCTTCCATTTCGATACCGACTCTAGTCAGAAGACCATTTTCTGAATCCAATCTCAAAGATTTCAAATCCGATTTGAATCAAAAACCAATTTTCGATGTTGATTTCAATAAGAAAATTTAGGCTGAAAACCCATAAAACCTTACCCATGTCAAAACATCTTCTTTTTTCTTTCTAAGCACATCCCAATGATTAAAAAACCCAGATGTGCAATGTACGGGAGAAGAACTATGAAAAATAAAGTTTGGAACAAGCAAGTAAGAAGAAGAAGAAAGGTTCTTGATGATAAACTTAAATTATAGAAATTTAATCAAGGTCTTTGATGACAAATTATGGTTCTTGTCTTCTTGATAAATTAAATAGAGTTCTTAAATTAAAGAAATTCAAATAAAAATGAAAATAGCTATTTTTGAATGAATTTTAAATAAAAAATATACATTCGATAGCCACATCAACAGATAACATTGAGTTGTATGACACATTATCTGACATATCAAGATCGTAATTGGTTGATAGTTAAACCAGTTTCTCAAGTACTTAAATGTTTAAGATGTTACATATTAAATACCAAAATGATAATTCTAGAGGTAAGTTACCCAAATAGAAATTAGAGTAAATTTGGTCCCCGTGATTCATTGTTTGTAACACTTTTAGTCTTTATAGTTTTAGAATTACAGTTTCGCTATTGTGGTATGCAAAAAGAATCGGATTTGGTCTCTGCCTCTAATGGTTGTTAGAAAAACTCGTTAGATGAGGGATATTTTAATTTTTTACCAATTATTTTGACTTTTATCCAATTAAAAAAAATACATGGACCAAAATTGTAATTTACCCTTTTTATTTTTTTGGCTTTTTAATACTTTTTGTTTTTTCCCATATATTTTATTAAATGTTTCTCCTTTTATCATTATCAAACTAGAACTACGGTGCTGTTCGGTTCGTTTTCTATTATGACTGTATGGATAAAAATGTCTGTATTGATAAAGTTGTCAGTATGATAACAGATAAGTTATTGTTCGGTTGTCATGCTGAATAAATTGTCTGAATGTTAAAAATGACTATTTTACCCTTAGTCTATTTTTTTGTAGTGTTTGATAAAAATATTGAGTAAATGAATTTTATTACCAGAAATGACCATTTTACCCTATTCGGCCTCTATCCTCGAATTCCCCTACCCGAAACCCACCACTATCCCATCTCTCCACTCACTGGCTTTGATCTCTCTCTCACCGATCCTCCCTCCTGCCTCCCCTCTCTTCGGCTTGCCTCTCCGAACACTGCTCACCACACACACACACACACACTCTCTCTCTCTCTCTCTCTCTCTCGCGCGTTCCCTCTCTTCGGCTTGCCTTCCCGATCTCTCTCTCGCCTCCCCTTTCTTCAGCTTGCCTCCCCGAACTATTTCTATCTCGCTCACCGACTCTCCTCTTTCCCCCACCAAGCCGACAAAAACTCCCAGTCACCCTCTTGGGGAATCTCTCTCTCGCCCTGAATCATCTCTCATTCTCTCATAGAAATCTCTTTCACTCTCCACTAGTCGAACTCCCCCCTCTTCTAACGGTCCCTCGTCGCTACCCCATCGGAAAAAGGTATGTAAGTGAACAGGGAAGAGAGGGAAAGCTTAAATGAGGAAAAAGGCATGGTGTCTCGATTGTTCGGAGGTGGGTAATACTCAAGTATTGCAATACCAGTTCTTCTTACCTATAGGTGCTCCTGCTTTTCATTGGTGTAAAGAACATGCTTTATATTTCATCTAAATGATATTTATGTATTTTAGAGTTCGAGACTAACCAGGTCAATGGGTCACTAATGTGACGATTGATCTGTTATTTAGTGTAGTTTACATTTTATGAACTTCTATAATCTTATGGTTTGTACGGTGTTTCAGGAAGTTGGCTTATTATTTCACCAATAATGTTTTCTTGCAGTTTCACCTTAGTTATTATTGACAAAACCATAATATGACCTTCAACTTTATTTTTCCATTCGATCTTGCTAATACACCATATTAACCTTAAACTTTATATATTAGTTGACTTGTAAAATAACCACACAAACTCATGATTCAAGGCTAAACTAATGTTTCAGAATTGTGACTCACCCGCGCTGCATCGCACGGGTACATCACTAGTTAATGAAAAACCAACCAACCAACTTCTAAGTTTCTAATGATTGAACCTTGTCTTAAAATAGTAATCATAATTGTTAGTTGTATGAAAATCCATAAAAAATAGGGAAAAGTTCAAAAAAAGCCAACTAACTTTCCTTTTGTAATAACTCGTTCCACATGGATATAAAGTGAAAATTGTTAGTTGCTTATATGCTTCAAGCAGTGGGATACTAATAATTTTCACAATTGTTTTAAGTTGAATTCAAAATCATTGGATCGTGCTTTGAGCTTTGGGGTGTTACAAATGGTATTAGAGCCAAGAAAGATTATGGACAAGGGCTTTGGGTATTACAAATGCTATTAGAGCCGAGAAAGATTTTGGGTAGGCCTGACGAGAATGTCATAAGTTTAAGTGGGGAGTTTGTAGAAAGTTAGAATTGTTAGTTTTTTATACCAATTTCGAATGGTTTAGTCCCTAATTTTTTTGAATGAAAAACCGTTAAACTTTCTCATTTTGAATGAAAAATCATTGATCTTTCTCATTTTGAAGGATTAAGTCCCTGGACTATTTTCTCATTTCGAATGATTAAGTCACTGGACATTTTTTCTAATAAATAACTATTGAACTTTTAAAAATTATTCATCTACATTCTTTGAACCCAAAAAAAGTTACACTTAACCGACTAACAACGTTTTTAAACTAAAAAAACATAAATAAGTTTGATCATTCCCAAACCCTACGCCATGCAAACCTTCGCACACAACATCATCATTTCCCCTTGCCCATCCTTATCACCCCATTGTTGTCTGTTCTCTCTACTATTCATTGTCGCCATTGACCCCTATCATTGATCTCCAATATGTTTTTTTATTCCACCTCTTTACAAAAAGAATAATGGAACACATATAGACATATTGAAAAGATGGAGAATAAAAAAAAAAATTCAAAAAGAGTGAGATCGATGACAGGGGCCAACAACGGTGATGGATGATAACTCTCACTTTGAGCATTATTTACACATCATTTGTGTGCATTTTCTTTCATTTTAGTTGTGTTTCCTCTTCATGTGTTCACGTTTCTTCCTTTTTATTAATTAATTTTTTTTATTTGGAGTTGTTGATGATGTTTTATGGTTATGTGCATCATTTATGGGTTTGTTGAATTGTAAAATGTACCCACCGTGTGCCCATCGTGGGAAGACTCTGGGCACTATTTGTGGAAGTTCTTCTTGACTATATTGTTACTATTGATCATTTAGGTGACATTTACATCCATACCCATTTTTAATTACTTGTTTTTATTTCATTGTGAAAATCTTCAAACTCACTCAAATATATTTTCTTCTCCTCTAAACCCTAATTAAAATTATTGTATTATCAACCTACTACCTGATACTCTGAAGTCGATCATTGTTGATACGATTTCGATATTTTTACACTGTATTACTTGTAACGATCATAGTGTCGGTGTATGCTTCCATCGCTACTGTGAGAACATTGTGCCCACTATGTGGATATACACGTTTTTCCGCTACCAAATTTTTGGCACCGTTGTCGAGGATTGACGTATTTCCAAGTTTAGTTTTTCATTGGTTTTTTCTATCACCCTGATGGAAGGTTTTGGTTGTAATGCACCGTATTTTAATACTTTCGATTATTTATGGGAACAACATTTTAATTTTTGGTCAAATATTCAAGATAATAACACCCACCCTTCATTGCTCACCTCCGTGTTAAGATTGGAATCACATGTGTATGAGCACATTCGAACCCGTTAGTCGATGGACGTCAACTACTGAACCGGAAATGCTCGGTTAAAAAAATAAATAATATTTGAATAAAAAAGCAGGGTCAAAATTGATAAACGGCAACGCGCCTCTCTGAATTTCGGATTTCTCCATAAAGTCAAAGATGGTGAACAGTGCCGGCACCGGCGAGGGTTCTGGTTCCTGTCCACCCTCAAAGCCTCCAATGGCGCCGTCATCTTCACAGCCATCTTCTATAACAGCCAATTATGATTCTCCAGCTCTACATTTCGGTCAAATTTCACGCCGACGCTCCCCGAGATTACTTAACTGTAGTAAAGACGGCAAGGATAGTTCTGTAGATTTTAACAAATGTCCGAAGCAGAAGAAGCTTAGGACGACTTCACCTTCTGACTCCTTTCCGTCTTCACCCAATGATGCCCCTTTCTTGATCGGCGATCCAGTTTCCGATGAAGAGGCTCGACGGAGATGGCCTTGGCGTTACGAGTGTAAGGTATGTGTGTTTGTTAGTACTCTGTAATTGCATGCAAAGCTATGACTGATCTTGAGTCTAAACTCCAAAATTCAACATCCTGAGTTTTTTACGAGGCCCACCTCCATGAATCTTGGAATGCCAGATCCTATGGTGAATCTTGATATTATTGAGTAGCTTCAGGGTTCTTCCTTGATGGTTTCTTTTGCTAGATGGTGTTGAAGACCTCAACTATGCAAGTTTGGTGAAGCTGACGACTTTGAGGATGCATTCACTCGATAGTACACATACCTGACTAGGATCCCCATTATCACTTTACCAATTATGAAACTTAATGCGGCTGGTCGAGTTTTGTGGTTTTGAAAGAGTTATTGGAAGTTGGTCCTCACTCTTACTGAATAGATGTTAGGACGTCTGAGGGCATTTGTTGTGGGAATCCATTCATGTCGATGTATATAATGGAGCTATGAATAATGTTAAAGCTCATGTTCTGGTGTGGATGCTTGGATTGGGAAATCTCACTCATGAACATGGTTAGTTGATCTTAACCTAGAGCCCAATCAGGTCCTCTCGGTTATGGAGGTCCTTATATTTAGTAGGGTGCCCGATCGTGGTGATGATAACGAATGGGCACTTCTCTTTTTCCTGGAACATGAGGGATACCTTAGATCAGATTTGTTCAGGCCTTCTGTGACGCAAACAAAGAAGGAGCCATTGTGATAGCCCTTCTTGCTTACTCCCAACAATCTACTTCCCTTTTGTCATTTTTGCCCTGTTAACCAAATGAATAACTTTCCTTAAAGTTGCAGGCCCCCACTCTTGCATTCCCATTATAACTGACCTCTTAACCCAATGTTTCCATTATCGCTACACTAAAATTTCATGTTCAACTACACTAAAGTTGCCTAAAACAGAGTCAGGCGTGGCATCCTCTCCTTTTTGAGGATGTTGAGCTATTAACACCTCCACTCTGCTTGCTCAATCCTGTGATCAGATATTTCTCTATCTTGCCATCAGATCTTTTATCATGTGAATCTATAAGTTACTGGATTTATGATAGCCGATTGTGAATTCTTTCTTTCAAGATGTCTCGACTTATAATGGGTTCCAATGTGGAAAAAACAACGGGATAGAGAGGAGAGAATTTTACGGCATTCATCCATGATCCATAATGATAATAATTGGTAAGGTAAGTATTTAATCAACCTCCTAACATAACTAAACCATGCCCTTCCCACTACAACTGACATAGCAACCTCCTAACAGAAGTAACCAACCTTTTGTTTTAATCACACAAAACCTTTCCCCCTTTTCACGATTATACTTTACACTTGTTACCCTTACATTGGGTCTGTACTGAAAAGAAGAGTAAATATTCAAAGACCACCAAACTTACCATCAAACTCACAATTTTTCCTTTTTGAAAGAGAGAATGTAATTATGAAGAGAGAGAGAGAGAGAGAGAATGTGCATTACCCTGAAAAGAAAATGATGGTGAGTTTGGTGGTAGATTTGATGGTAGCTGTAGGTTTGCCCTGAAAAGAATTATTGTTTGTGTTTGGTTTGCTGGTCTGAGACTGCTTTCTCCTTTTTCCTTCTGTAACATTGGCAAAAGATGTTCTTATAAATGTTAATACCGAGAATTAAGCTTATTTACTTGCTGATTTATTTTCTTGTGGAATTTCAATAAATTAAGCATTGACAAAGTACCTGTTACAGCAATTGACAGGAGCTTGTTTTGCTTAGTCGTAATCGTTAATCTGATTAACGGTCACATGTCTGGAATCATGTAGGGACTCAAACACAAAGGATGCTTCGCAGAAACCAAGTTAGTAGTCACTCTAGTGGTGCAGTTAATCTCATGTGCAGTTTCAGACATGTTTTTTTTTTTTAATTGATTATTTATGATGCAGCAAAGATGATGATGACAAGTTGATTGCGAATGTGAAATGTCATTATTTACAAGCTAAGGTTGAGACGCATGTCTTTGATCTTGGTGATTGTGCATGTGTGAAGGTGAAGTTTTCCTTCTTCCTCCACTTGTCTAAATAAACTTTGATGTCATGCTATTGCTTTAGGTTTGGGTATCAAACTGTGTGTTCCCACTATAGTTGGTTTTGTGGCAAAAATGCATACAGATTAGGTTCACTACATGGTCAACCTACATGTTAGCAACGACCTGGGCTGGCTACATTAAATAACATATCCTCAAATTTCAAAGTGTTTAGCTCAGCCTGCCTAGGTAGACCCACATAAATGTTATCACCAGCTCAAGCCAAAACACTATGAGATATATCCATTATTATCAAGTACATATTTCCTTAGTTTTCATTAAAGGAAACATAAGGGATGACGAAAAGTAGCAACTATATAACGTGATCAGTTATCCGCTTTTGCTCAAGTTTGAGACTCAAAGGATCATCTTCCCTAGGGTCACCTTATTTGATGTTGAACCAACATCGTTACTCAACTATATATAGATTTTTCCTTCTTCTAGGCTCCCGATGCATTTTAGACAATATTTGATGTTGCCATGCTTTGGTGTTTGGACATGGAGTTTTGTTTGGAAGAGATATAGTTGGTTGAATGTTACACTCATACACATTATGTCGATGGAGTTACCTAATGTACTATTCTTTACCCTATCTAGCAAGCTCTTTGTGCTTGACTGCTTGGCATGCCTTTACTGTAACGACCCAAATCCTATATCGGTTGCCGTTGCTTTCTTATTTACCCTAGTAAGTCTTGAATATGAACTTGAAATTTAACTTTATTTATAACTTAGCTTATAATTACATCAAAGATGAAATACTAGAGGAAATGTAACTCAATAGCTTATAATACAATATAACTTGCTATTGATTGATAACATACTACTTCATGCAAATCTTCTTTACTCCTTTCCTCAAATACATACATGAGATACGTAAGCTAGAAGCTTTGTGAGTAGTTACGGTTTCATGAATAAACAATTTTCATGATACTTAACACTTTGTGAATAATAATTCACTAAAACTCTTTATCATGCATAAAAATACTCTTTTTATCATGCATAAAAATAATATTTTTATCATGCATAAACATTCTTTTGAGATCTCACTTGAAACATGTAAGTATGCCATACTTGTCTTGAGGTTCGCTAACCCCCGGGTCCATAAAGGCTGCCCCATAAGGTCCGTTTGCAAGACGTCCCTTTTTGTACTATCCCGTACATTGGATATTTATGGTCATACATAACATGTAAAAACTTTCATGCCTTATGTGTAATGTGTAAAACACATCATAACATGCCATCATACATATATCTTGGCTATATAAACGTATACTCATTTTGTGTAAAGCAAATATGCAAAATCATCTTATCAATTTCTTTATAATCCATAAAATACATTTATATAGTATATATGTATATCAATCAATCTCATAATGTACTCACCTTGATTTTGCCTAGCTTTTCCCTTTAAGTCCTTTCTTCAAGCTTGATTAGGTAGAAAGAGAGAGATTTCTTATTTTTGGTATGGAACCAATGGTGACACTTCAACCACTATTTATAGGTGATTACAATGCATTAACTACTTGTTCTTCTTGCTCTCATGGTTGTATTCTTGTGAAAGTTTAATGCCTCATGCTTAAGATAAAAGAATCTTGACACATCATGTTTAATATAAACGAATCTTGACACATCATGTTTGATATAAACGAATGGTGCCACATCATGTTTAATATAAAGGAATCTGGACACATCATGCTTCTAGCTCTTGCTTGTCATCATGAATTTTGCCAACACATGCTTCTAGCCTTAATAACTCATAACTAGCTTGCTTTGTCATGCTTACTACTTTGTCATGCTTACTAGACTTGATTTGTCATGCTTAGTAGTCTTGCTTAGTCATCAAATAACTTGCCAAGACATACTTCTAGCCCTTATAACTCATCACTTTAGATTTGATTTCTCATGTTTTCCTTGTAAGCTACTTGTAGACTACTTGTAAGCTACTTGCCTTGAAAATATAATAATTTAATAGATGCTACAGCTGCTGGGACCTTTTTAGAGTACTTAAATTGCTCATAATATTTGTATTCAAGGCTTACATTGTAATTTAACAAATATGAAACTAGGGTGTTCCATTTGCCTTGTTGGATTGCTTAAGCAATGATACTATTACTAACGTTAGTTTCTTACGTTGCTGCCCGTGTCGTGTAGAATGGTATATTGATAGTTAGCCTTAACAAAAGTAAGGAAGACTAGAATGCTGCCATCCATTACAGTTCCATTATGTTATATATTGTATAAAGTCGGCATTAGGGTTTGGTTTTCTAGTTCCCCAAGTCGGCCTGAGGCCCACGTACTTTCTGCATATACTCATTTATTCATCAATGGAGAAGGCATACTTTACCATATTTACATGGTATTGGAGCTGTCACTGAATCTGCATAACCTTAGAATAACCTCCCGTATAAACCAACATCGCTATATCAGCCCATCACCGATGCCGTAAACCACTTTTGTTGCAATGAATTATACTTCTCAAAGGAACTTGTAGAAGTTTTTGACATATCACTTTGTTTTGAAGCCAATGTTTGGCACCACTTTATCATTTTCTGGTTCTCATTATATGGAACCTAAAGTGCTCACAATCCATTTATGTTTAAAAACACAAGAAATAACATGGTTGCTCATTGTTTTTTTTAGGGTGAAGAAGATGGCCACAATCATGTTGGTAGGATACTTGAATTTTTTAAAACAAATGACAGCAAAGATTTTTTCCGAATTCAATGGTTTTTCAGAGCTGAAGATACGGTGGGGATACTTTTTATATACTCTCCCATTTCATTTTATGCTTACATTAGTGTCTATTCGTGGATAAGTCGTTGTGAACCAGTAGTTTAGGGTTAGGATATGAAAAGTTCATTCCCAAACGACGTATATTCCTAAACAAAATTGAATTTGTAGTACAATGGGAAACTGATAGCTTGTGGCTACCATGCCAAATTCTGACCTAATTTGGCCTAGTTTTGTTTATTAATGACTCCTCCTAAATTTGTAGGATAGATGCCAAGTACTCCAATTGAGAACAGATCACATGAAGAATATTCATAGCAGACAAAGTAGAAAAGTGACCAAAACAAAGGAAACAAAAGAAAATCAATAGAAGCCAAGTAGGCATGGTAATGGGGCGGGGACCCCAATCTCGTCCCCGTCCCTGATCCCCCATCTTTGTTCCCGCCCCCGTACCCATCCCCGCCGGGGAATTTGATCACATCCCCATCTCCCTCCCCAAAGGGGAAGGGGGATACCCAACGGGGAAACGTGGATTTTTTTTTTCTGTTTGTGTAAGTTTTTTTTTAAACCAAATGTGTGAGACGCCACGCATGTTTAAATCTCACATTTTTCTAATAAATATAAAACCAAAAGGAATTTAATTTAATACAAAAAATATACATCATCATATAATAATTAATAAATCGAAAACCAAAAGAAACTAAATTTAATCTAAAAAAAATTAACGTCACATGTACCAAAACATATCGAGTAATATCCAAAACTACATCTAGTAATTTCCAAAATATATTGAAATAGAAATTACCATTTACCGATTTAATAGAAATAAATAATATATAATATAATTTATTAAGTAATATATACGTACGAGTACGACGGGGCGGGGAGTGCGATACCTGTCCCCGTCCCCGTCCCCATCCCCAGTTTGAGCCAAACGGGGATCCCCGTCCCCGTCCTCGAGACCCGGTTTAGCAGAGAATCCCCATCCCCGACCGAGGAGGGTGGACCGGGTTTTTCGACGGGTCGGGGCCAATTCCCATGCCTAAAGCCAAGCCAGTAAACGAAACCAAACAAAACCATTATATCCCACACAGAGGTAAATTGGGGAAGGACGATGTGTGCGACCTTGCCTCTACTTTAAAATGTAGAGAGGCTGGTCATGTGAAGACCCCTTACTTGCAAAATTTACTAGGGTTAATGCGGCGTCAAAGACATGTCTCACGCCATGACTTGCCTTTTTAAAGGTGGTTTTAGCAGGAATTACTCCAGTGGCATTCCTCCACTTTAGCCACCCCGTCTTTATCTTATATGTTACATCATCCTCCATCTCTCCCTTCGTCTCTGACATCCTTCTCAACTTCCTTTCGTTCCCTATTGAAGTTGTACCATAGGTATGCCATATGTGGTCTTGGAACGAGCAATGTGAAAGCCTTGTGTTTTCAATGTCTCCCTCCATTCCAGTCTCTAGTTCATTTCTACCCTCGACTATGCTACCAACGCAATGTCGTCAATGAAGAACATGCACCATGGGATACTCCTCTAGATCCCTTAGGAAATCTCGTCCAAAATCACGTGAAATAGAATTGGGCTTGGTGTAGCCCTAATTCCTCCGAGAAATACTCCATTTCACCCATCAGGGTCGTGAAGCAAGTTCTCCTTACTTGTACATATCTTGTTTTACCTTGACATACCTCCATGGTACCCCTCTTTCTTCCAGCTCCTCTAAATCACGTCTCGTAGCATGCTATTATATTAATCAAACCAAACCAAACGAGCCTGGTAAATCCCATCCGAAGGTGGGGTCTAGTACATCATATGCCTTCCCCAAATTTATGAACACCATGTACATGTTCTTACTATGCTCCCTATACTTTTCCGAGGCGTCCGAAGATGCGAATTGCCTCGGTTGTTAACCTCCCCGGCATGAACCAAATTGGTTCTCCAACACCCCCATTCTGCCGCATCATGGTCTCAATCACACGCTCCTAAAATTTTATGGCGTGGCTAAGTAGCTTTATAACGTGATAATCGGTACAATAGTGTATGCCGCCTTTGTATATAGCGGCACAACCACTCTAAGCGCCACACATGGCTATCCTAAGGGTTACATTATAGAGCTTCGTCAACCACTATGCAATCTCCCCCAATCAAGTCCTCACCTTGATGGGGATATTGTATGGGCCTATGGCCTTACCCTTACCCTTATCTATCTCCTTTTGTGCCTTTTTCATTTCCTCTGCTAATTCTGCGACAAATACATTGATTATGTAGCTATTATGACCAAGAACTCTCTATGCAACACTCTCCTTTTCCTTTGCCTCGTTAAATAACTTACAAAAATAATTATGCCATCTTCCCTTAATGTCCTCCTTTCATACTAACACCCCTCATTCACATCCTTAATATACCTAACATTCCCTAGGTCCCGACGCCTCTGCTCCTTGGCTTTCGCCAACTTACATATTCCAACCTCCCCCTCTTTGATATCTAACCTCTTGTACATCTCCTCAAATGCCTTATCATTTGCCGTATAACCACCTTTTTGCCTCTTGTCTTGCTTCTCTGTGAAGATTCTTCAGGATGATCCTATCTGCAATCTCCTTACAACACGTTTGTTTCTCTTTGACCTTTGCTTGTATGCCTTCATCCCACCACTAAGACTCCTTGTCATCCCTAGTACCTCGTTATGATACTCCAAGCATATCTTTGGCCACAACTCCAATGGTGTAGTCACTATACTCCATGTCTTCACAGTGTCGTACAACTATCCATTTCTTCCCTCCTGGCCAACCCTTCCCTTAAATACCTTTGTTGCCTCTCCGCTCAGGTTTTTCCAGAGGATCCTTAGTCTAGCCTCCTTGCTTCCTTAGTTGCATCCCTTTTCATGTATAAGTCCATTACTTTTGACAAGATACCGAACAACATCTTCCCGGAGCAGGTTGGAGTTGCACTTATCACAAATAAGTTGAGAGAGGGGATACTAAGGTGGTTTGGACATGCTTGAAGGAGAAAGCTGGCGGCGTGTGATGGTCGAGGGGGAGAGGAGGAGCGGCATGCCGAGGAGGATGTGGGATGAGCAATTGAGGAAAGACATGGAAACCTTAGGCATTTTAGAGGACATGCCATCTGATAGGAGTTCTTGGAGACACAAGATTAGCATAGCAGACTAGGATGTAGACTTGTAGCTAGCATAGACGGGAGGAAGGGACTTGATGTAGATGGTAGGGGGAGGGTTAGGGTAATGAGCCAGGAGATAGGCTACCAGACTCTTAAAATATACCAGGAGTTATGTCGTTCTCTTACCTTCACTATGTTTCTTTGTACCTACTTTTCTTTCTATGGTGCTGCCTTTTTTCTAGTCATTTGAACTCTTCGGGCAAGCTGTCTTCCGGAAACAACCGTTGGTACTCTTTGGGCGTAGAGGACAGGTATCTGTACACCTCCTACCCCACTTCTATGTCAGATATATTGGGCTCATTTGGTTTTTCTAAAGCAAGGAGTGTAAGATGGCATGTTTAGGATTGCTGATATAGAGTCGTAACGTTGAATGTGTCATAGTTAGTTTTTGAATGTTATTCATGTTCTGTGATCATAGCTCACTCTTAGTACGATGATTTTGGTAAGCACTTATTTCAAGATTTAAATTGTAAGGGCTCTGAAGTTGATGAAATGAAGTTTTAGTTTTCTACATTTTCAAACTTACAGCACAGGAGACTTATAAAATAAGATCTTTATAGCTAGAGCACATGGAGGAGTTTGAGTATTTTTGGAATTTGGACTGGTCCTTGAATTTTCTGAATTTGCAAAAACAGTCTCCTTGCCTTTAGGAAATTTCAAAAGCAAGTATTTTAGCATTTTCTATGAATGTCCTTGGATTTCTGGTGTTTGCCATACTTCTAGAAACTAGGTTTTGTGTGCTTTGAAAGATGCATCAAATCCGGGCAGGGAAACCAAGCCAGGTTGAATCTTGTGACAACGATTATTGATTTTGCATCAAATTGGCATTTCTTAACCCTGTCCTGTAGTAGTAGTTCAGATATATCAAAATATTTGAGTGAACCTTTCCATATATAATGTGAAAGTTGCTTCCACAACATTGCTATCTAAAATTCTTTTTTCCAAGTAATTTGATTATTTTGGACCTTTATTTAGCATAGAAATAAGTTCCAAACAGGGTAGCTAATCTCTATGAAAGGAAATCTGCAACGTAATTAAAGCAGATTCTCCATATCTTGGGAAGACCATGAACCAGTAAAAAGTATCTTGCTGGCACATGGCGAAATGCTTCTTAGTTTCTATTTTCTTGTGGTGCTAAACTGGTTTTATATATTTTATTAGGTAATACAGGATGAAGCGGCATCTCATCACAAGAAGCGGTTGTTCTATTCTACCTTAAGGAATGACAACGCATTAGATTGCATTGTCTCAAAAGTAAAAGTACTCAAAATAGTACCTGGTGTATGTTCAAAACTTGTAATTGAATATTGTCATCATATCCAAGTGAGCGACCAAAAGGTTCCTCTCAATATCTCCGCTAGCTTGCTCTAACAATTGAGGATTCCTGTCTTGTTATTGGCAGGTAGACTTCAGGTCTATTCCGGCATGTGATTATTATTATGACATGAAATACAACATAGATTACTCCACATATTGTACAATAAAAGATGGTAAGTGATTCACTTAGCTGCTTAATGTCATTTTAATGCCTCATGATAGGTGTACGGATTAGGCTTCAATGTTATGTTTATTACTTGGTGAAAACACAATATAAATAATGTACAAGATGGGCTCAATCGCGAAGAAACATACAAATACATACTTAACTGTTACAAGAGCCTAAGAGACATAATGGAAACACTGCTGCTTAAGTTGGAGAAAGATATCAATTCAAGCAGAAATTTCCACCGATAAAGTCTCCTTCATGGTTCCATTAAAATGCTGATACATGATACTTGGTCGGCATATAAACAAGCGGGATAGATGTAGGATTAGTTGTACACAGAACATAAACAAGATGGCAATCTATCTCTACATCCTTGGTTTTCTTGTGAAAACATGGTTCCTGACTATATGGATTTTGGATACCAACAACATTAGATAATCTTGGAGAGTGTCCAACGCACATAAAAGTGTATTAAATGATGTACACCTCATAAACATAATATGTTTTATGTGTTCCATATGATATAGTTGTTTGGCTGAATCAAAACCATCAGATCTTTCTACATTTTGAGATCCAAATCCCGTAAATAAACATACCACACTCATCTGCATGCATGTCACTCACTCACACACGTTCTCAATCTCATAAGCACGCCAATAACAATTACAAAGAAGCATACACCCTGATTAGGTTCTGCTGTGCTCATAGTTGTTTATATATATGTAAAGGCTTTATGGAGAGAAAAAACCAATCATCAAAACATCTTGTAGAAGAAAAAACGAGGATTTTAGAGATAAACATACTTCCAGTAAAAATTAACAAACCTTTATCTCCATTGAAGATGAATTTATCATGGGACTTCTAATCTTATACTGTTGTTTATGCATTACACCTATTCATGACTGAAGAAATAAATTTTCCCATACTGTAAGTACCATACCATTAGTGGAGCAACAGAGACAGAGTTCTAATAAACAAGATGCTAGTATAGTACAAATCACTAAAGTGAGCAGCTAGAATTAGCTTGTACAGCTGTACTTGATTTACCCCAACAGCATGTAGCTTGTGTCACTTTCAAATTCAGAACATTGGATAATGTGGCAAAAGTGCTGTGTAAAACTGATACTAAGAAAAACAAAGAGGAAATTACGGAAAGTACAGATAACTTCTACCAGCGGCGAATTACCCCCTTCACACACAAAGTGATATAAGCAATCAAGCTTAAGCTGGCTTGCGATACAATAGTATAAGATCTTGATGAATCTCCTGTCAACATACCATGTGCTAAATAAACTATTCCATATTGATAGCACTTCATATATGATTTATCTCAGCATGTTAATTGTTCTGGCAGTTTATTTTATTATTGTTCCATTATTTCTGCTTATTATGATTCTCTTATGGTCATGATCTGGTTAATGAGCATGCAAATAGCAACATTTTTGGATTGTACCAGAACTGCACCTGATGTTTTGAATGTGACAGATTTTTCTTCAGATGATTGCTGTTTGTTCTCATCCCACAATAAGAAGGAAATGCATAGTAATGGAAGCAAGACTAATCTAAATGGAACGCTAACCAGTTTTAAACCTCACAAATTAGAGTTATCGCTATTAGATATGTATTCCGGTTGCGGTGGAATGTCAACAGGATTGTGTTTTGGAGCAAAGCTATCTGGCGTGGATCTATCGACGGTAAGATATGACGAGTTAATATATTTCATTGCCTTGAAATTTATGGGAGAATGATCACTTTGAATTTGGCTCTCAATATGTAGAAATGGGCTGTAGATGCCAACCAACATGCATGTGAAAGCTTCAGGTTGAACCATCCAGAGACACAAGTCAGTAACATTTCGTCTTTCCTGAAATCGCAATTGTAGGCATTTGCTAATTTGCATTCTTGTTTTACAGATTAGGAACGAATCTGCTGAGGACTTCCTCGACCTTATAAAGGAGTGGGACAAACTCTGCAAAAAGTATATGGTCAAGGAGGAGAAAACGCAAGGGAATGATTCCACATTTGCTGGATCAGCTGATGACAAACCTTCAAAGGCCAAAAAAATTGTCCCAGAAGATGAATATGAAGTTGAAAGACTGGTTGATATATGTTACAGTGATCTTGATGGTACTAGCAAGCGTGGGCTCAAATTTAAGGTGTGCATATTATGTAGTGTTTTGTGCTTGAGTTTATTCTTCAAATTCTGATCTTTTTTCTCAAACACTGCAAATTCCGGATGGTGCTCTCTAATATTAGTCCCTCATTGGCTTTCTTATATATATACTAGATGTGTGATATGTTAGCTGTAAGTTATTACAATTTAGGCATTGCTAGTATCTTAGCATAGGGGCTTGGCTAGAGAAATGCGTCAGCCCACGTGTACGCTCATAATATACCTACCGGGTAGAATACTCTGGCAGCAAACTTTCTATGGACAGATGAATGTTTAACTCTCGAAGCTAATACTGTGCAGTTACCTCTGTGTTATCAGCAATGTCACCTAAGAGTCATCCTTCACCATGGTTGGTTTTCTTTTCACAGTCTGCTGCACTTTCCAACTATATACACTGTAGGAGAGACGCTTTAGTATGGTCAAAATATACTTTTATCTTTCCATGGTTGCATATGTGATTACAGTACTATACCACACAATTTATTTTCAAGTATATTATGGCCATAAAATTGCTTCTTCTTTACTTTTGTCATTTGTGTTTGTTGGCTACAAACTTTAGATCATGAAAGTTGGGGTATGATTAGAAAAAATAGAATAAATTGTGTTGTCAGTTTACATGTTGCTTATGAAAGTGAGTTTTCTGGTGGGTCAATTGTCCTATCTATCATATATCTATCTTCTTGTTGTTGTACCCTTGCTTTTTAAGTTCTGAAGTATAGATCTGAAGATATGTTTGTGGAAATAACTTTTAGGTACGTTGGGCTGGGTATGGTCCAAGTGATGATACATGGGAGCCAATTAAGGAGTTAAGGTAATCCTTCTTATATGTTGTAAACAATTTTGCTCCAGAACAGACATTGCCACCTACTTACATTTTTGATAATTTATTTTTATATTTCATCGCTCAGCAACTGCCAGGAAAAGATCCGTGAGTTTGTCCAGAAGGGAATCAAGACAAACAAATTGCCTCGTCCGGTATAATTAGTACAAAGAAATCCTTACTAATATAGGCAACACATTATGTTTGGTAATGGAGAGAGTTATTGTCTTTATGTTGCAGGGTGATGTTGATATCATCTGTGGTGGTCCTCCATGCCAAGGAATAAGTGGTTTTAATCGCCATAGGAATTTCGAATCTCCTTTGGAAGATGAAAAGAATTATCAAATTGTAGTCTTCATGGATATAATTAACTTTCTGAGGCCAAAGTACATCCTAATGGAAAATGTGGTTGACATATTGAGGTTTGCAAATGGTCGGCTTGCAAGATATGCAATAAGTTGTTTGGTTCGTGATTATTACCAAGTAAGGCTAGGGATTATGGCAGCCGGGTGTTATGGCCTTCCTCAATTCCGCTTGCGTGTATTCTTTTGGGGTGCTCATTCTGATGAGGCAAGTGCTTACTTACTATAAACTACAATGTATAAACTCTTTATGATGTGGTTACCATGACAATTTTTACTATGCAGCAATTGCCGCCATTTCCTCTTCCTACTCATGATGTGGTCTTCAAATATGGGGGTGCAAGTGGGTTTGAGGTGCTAATTGTAGTTAATTGCATAAGTTTTGAGTTAAGCTTATTAAGTGTTTGCTAACTTAGTTCCATATTACAGCGTAATGTTGTTGCTTATGATGAAGGGCAATTTCGGAACCTTGAGAAACCCGTTCTTCTTAAAGATGCCATTTCTGATCTTCCACTGGTCTATACTCTTGCCGTCTCTCTCTTGTTATATGCCTTTTCTGATTCTTGCATACTAATTACAAATCTTCGTCATGAAGGTCTCAAACTCCGAAGTTCGTGATAAAATGATGTATAGAAGTGCTCCAGAAACTGAGTTCCAAAAATACATTAGAGCTACCAAATCAGGTGAGCTGACTCATCAACGAAACAAATTTATGCAGAGTTATGTTAAAAAAAATAAGGGCTGATTGGGCAACCTTTACTTCTTACTTGTGAGCTTCAGATATGTTGGGCATTGCTTCTGGAAGTTCCTCTGAAGTAGAGAAGTCTGTACTACATGATCACCGGCCTTTGCAATTAAACGAGGATGACTATTTGCGAGTTTGTCGAATCACAAAAAGAAAGGTTGGTATGAATTATGATGGTGTTAGGTTTTTCAACTTCGTTTCTTATCGTTCTCTCTAATGATTGTTCTTTTCTAGGGAGCAAATTTTAGAGAACTCCCGGGCATTGTTGTTGATGATGATAATGTTGTAAGCAGGGCACCAGAGGCGGAGCTGATGCCATCTGGAAAACATTGGGTAATTGTGATGTGGATAATATAAAAGTCTAAAACAAAATCAAAAAAACTTTTTACATTATACATGAAAAATAGGGATTTACTTGAAGTTGGTCTCATTTTGATTTTACATTTTCTTCTTTGGTTTATTGAGTTCAGATTGAGTTGATATTTTCATCATTACTCTCCATAATATGATTTTGAGTTAAAAAATAGTGTGATGACAGACATCTGTTTTTTTTGATTTATTTGTTTCTGTAGGTTCCTGACTATGCAATAAATTTACATGAAAGGAAGTCTACAAAGTGAGATATTCTGTCCAATTAAGTTTTCTGAATTTTTGTTCTGTTTCTTGCCTTTCATGAACTTTTTTCCCCTTGATGGAATGCAGACCTTTTGCACGGTTATGGTGGGATGAGACGGTTTCGACCGTGATTTGTACGCCAAATTTTCGTTGTGAGGTAACTTTATGCAACCATCAAATGTTACAAACCCATTTTCAGTGCTGTATTAATTTTGCTGTACTTCAGGCAGTTCTACACCCAGAACAAGATAGGGTCCTGACTATTCGTGAGAATGCAAGATTGCAAGGCTTTCCCGACTTCTATGCATTATGTGGTACTGTAAATGAAAGGTATGCATTCATTATCATTGATGATCAACTCCCTTCATCCTAAAAAATGAGTTCATTAGTTCCAACTTTCTATTGCCATGGTTCATGGGCCTTCACTCCTCAACCTCCTGTTTTACAGGCCATATTTTGATATCACTATGAAGTATTTTTTTCTCTTTGATATTTGAGTGATTAACCTTTGTAATCTTTGCATTTGGCTTTAAGTAAGTAAACAGAAAAACCATTGTAGCTGTAGAAATCCCTGAAATCATACTATACTTGGGAAACAGGAACATATTTTCAGCAATTTCTGCATCTACTATGGTTTTATTTTATTTACCAATGATGGTATGTTCCAAGTATATTGTTTTATGTGGATTTCTGCAACTATACTTGTTTTCGTTGAAAGCTGAAACCAATTGTAGTGGTTACTAATGTTGAAAACACGTTGATATTTTATTGTAGGGACGAACACTAGGGCTGTAAACGAACCGAACGAACATGAACGGAGGCTTGTTCGTGTTCGTTCGTTTAACTTAACCGAACAAACGAACGAACACGAACGATAAACGAACGAAAATCTTTGTGTTCGTGTTCGTTCGTTTAGAAATAAGGTGTGTTCGTGTTCAATTATGTTCGTTCGTTAACATGCTAAACGAACATAAACGAACGGGCTAAACGAACATAAATGAACAAGCTAAACGAACATAAACGAATATTATTTGAATTCAAAGTAAATAAATAAAAGATTATATATTAAATTTAATTTATAAACGAACATAAACGAACGAACATAAACGAACGTGAACGAACGGTAAATGAACGAACGTTCACGAACATAAATGAACAAACGAGACTCTTGTTCATGTTCGTTCGTTTAACTAAACGAACAAAAAAATTGTTCATGTTCGTTCATTTATTAAATAAACGAACATAAACGAACTTCCAGCCGAACGGTTCACGAACGTTGCGCTGAACGTTCGATTCGTTTACAGCCCTAATGAACACTGTGACACTTTTTCTTTTTTAGATGTCTGATGGAAGTTGTAAGATTTTCTTGTTTGGTAACTCATAATAAGAAATTGCTTGTTTGGTAATTTAGGTGCATAAGATTCCTCTATTTTGCAGGAGTATTTAAGAATTTTGGTTGATGATAGTCAAAGATTTCTCTTATATAGTGTGCAACAATTGCAATTTTCGTGGGACTAAAGAAGTCCAAATTTGACCTTTTTGAGTGTCAATCCGTTACTTACCCTTGAATGAAGACAATAAAGAGATCTTATAGGATGATGACTGTTTCCTAGCTACTTCCGAATGGATTTTATGGGTGGTTTGGTTTGGTATAAGATTGCTGAGAATGAAGAAGGATTTTGTGATTTTGTTGCTAAATTAATTAATTATTGTGTTGGTTTTCCCCGGATTGATGTTGTGTTGGTGTTGTTAATTTGCAGATACCGACAAGTGGGTAATGCTGTGGCAGTCCCAGTTGGACGTGCATTAGGCTATACGCTTGGAATGGCAGTACAAAAGCTGTGTGGAGACGAACCTCTAATCACTCTCCCACCAGAGTTTGCGCATTCTACAACCCTGGACTTGTTGCAGGCATCCTCATTAGCAACCGAACCTTGATATATATAATTGTTGTAACCATTTATACACCATGTCATTTGTCCAGAATTAGGGCCGCTAACTACAATAAGCAACTGTTGGTTTGAATTTCAAGTTCCCGTACACACCATACACTTTTGCATCAAATAATGATCTTCGTTTTGTGCTGTAATATGCACTGTGTTCTTAGTCAAGCTGATCACCGCAGGCTTTTTCTCAAGGAACTGGTAGGATTGACCGAGTGGCTCGTCTCATGTATCTATGCCATGAAAGTTTCATCTGAGTATCCCATGCCCGAGGCCGAAGACCACGAGCCCGCAAAGGAGACGCGAAATAGAAGTAGTGGGCAAATGATGTATATGTCATGGACACATCTTAAATGGTATGTCAGATTCGCTCCTTGATGTCTTTCATCAGAACATGGAATCGTCAAAGAATTTGTGGATGCCCAAGAATCAAAACCCATGGCCGAGGGTGTAGGTCTGGTTGGACCCAATCCAAAATTGAACCCAATAAATCTTGCTTGAAAGTAGGTCTGGTTCATCCCGACCTCTGCTCAAAAAAAGTAATACGGTTGCTTTCGTGATCTAAATCTTACATTTAGCATATATACAATAAATTATACAGCTTGAATGACCCTTTGGGTATGTCATCAACTTGTAATTTGCTTTGACTATTTAGTCATCAGACCAAGTTGATTAATCTGTTCCATCATATCGCTTTAGTAGTAGGTTAGGTTATTCACAAATTCCTTCATATACACGAAAACCCTCCATAATCTGCTGTCTTTCTCTCTTAACAACTCCTTGGAAGTTGTCATCTCCTTATCATTCACTGCACTCTTTCAACCTACAAAGATCCTGCAATCTTATCATCCTTAATTTTCTATCAGACATGAAAACAAGTTTCAAATTTTAATGATTTTGTCACCCAATAACGTTGTTCAAGGATATCTGATCATGATTACTGCCTAGACTATAAGTTTCCAAACATCCAACTGCCTGTATATAAAAACCACACAAAAAATTTAACAAGTTATATATATATATATATATATATATATATATATATATATATATATATATATATATATATATA